AAGGGACAAAAGGTCAATTATGATACTCCACAAAATTGTAGAACGTGCACAGATCTTTTACAGTTAGAATCTACACATAAAACATTTAGGTTATTGGGACCGCATAACAATTTTAAACCTGTATTCTCTACGGACCAGACGAGAGTGATACATAATAATTTGCAGCAGGAAAATATTAGAGACTGGTTCTAAATTTGTACAAGAACAAATCTCATCAGGAGGCATGGCAGCAACTGTAAAATAGTCCCGTTTAAGGTCAGAGGTGTAATAGGGACGCTGAGAGAGCACGCTATCGACATCAAGGGCCAAAGACTTTTCAACAGTTCCTCTACACATAATGGGCGTAACTGGCCCACTTCTCATGGTGTTCTAGAGAGAGCTTGATAAACACCTCCGAAGGATACCTGAAAAAGCAGGCTGTGATTCACACGTCAGGCTGTGAGCAGCTGCGTTCAACAGCTTGATTGACCAAACCACCAGCCAGGAAATTGAAATTGAAATGGGACTGGTCAGAAACCGAGCCGCGGGAAAGTTGATCCACGGAACTAAGGAAAGTTAGACAGGCTAATTCTCAAGCTCATGTGAACCCAAAGGATACACTCACCTCCTTTAAAAGCATCTAAATGGGCTAATTTAACAATTGTTTACATTCGCCAATGAAGCGTAGAAAAAAGCCTAAGCTACTCTATCCTTTTGGTATGCTTTTTATTATTTCAACACTTACTTGAACTTGAGCCGCACAGAATAGATTCGGAGTCTCTATAACACAGTATTACTCAGAGACTGACCTGTTGATACCATGAACAACAGCACCAGCACCGTCCCGAGATGGGAACAACTGGGAGCAAGCGACGATCGCGAAGCCCACACCGCCATGCCTGGCCTGCGTCCTCCACGCATGGACCCGCGGGCGCTACTGATGTGCCCAGCGAGGCTCCAGAATACCAATAGTTCCTGCGATGTAGAATACAACCCTTCCCCTACCGTCTGAAAACCTTGGTGCTAGTGATAATACACTAGACCCGGTTAAGTGTATCAAGGTTGCTGACGAATGTAAAATTTATACTTGATTACATGGCGTTGATGATTTTGATGGGTATTAGAGTGTAAAAGCAAGGACAAGCGTGGTGGACAAAAGGCGACCTAATTTTTTGGTAGGAGGTGACATGCTGTGTGTGTTTGTGTGTGTTTGTGATAAATGAACTTGGCGATCACACATGAAGCGCACGTGTGATTCACACACACATACACACACACATTAGGTAATTACACACACACACACACACACACACACACACACACACACACACACACACACACACACACACACACACACACACACATACACACACACACACACACACACACACTCACACACTCACACTCACACTCACACACACACACACATGGTGGAGGCTGACTCCATACACAGTTTCAAATGTAGATATGATAGAGCCCAGTAGGCTCAGGAATCTGTACACCTGTTGATTGACAGTTGAGAGGCGGGACCAAAGAGCCAGAGCTCAACCCCCGCAAGCACAATTAGGTGAGTACACACACACACACACACACACATGAGAGTAACAAATAATAATGCACAAATTATGAGGAGGATTAAGACAGAAGAAGATAGTATAAGGCTACAAGATGACCTAGACAAACTGAAGGAATGGTCCAACAAATGGCTACTAAAGTTCAACCCAAGTAAATGTAAGGTGATGAAACTAGGCGGAGGAAATAGGAGGCCAACCACTAGATACCGAATGGGAGATGAAGTCCTGCACGAAAAAGACAGAGAGAAAGATCTAGGAGTTGATATCACACCAAACCCGTCTCCTGATGCCCACATCAAAAGAATAACATCGGCGGCGTATGCGAGGCTGACTAACATCAGAACTGCCTTCAGAAACCTGTGTAAGGAATCCTTCAGAACCTTGCATAGCACATATGTAAGGCGGCCCCAGTGTATGACTCCATGTATGTCTAACCATCCTGTGAGATTTGCATATAGCTAGTTTTTATCTACACTGTGTAATCTTTCATATAGAATAGGGTAGCAGCACATTGTTGTGTACCTAAGCTTGTTAATTTAAAAAAATGTATGAGAAAGGAGTCCTGCACTAAGTCTAGAAAGTGTTCCTCTTCCATTTGCGAAGTTAGAATTAATCAATCTATTGCCTCATGATTAAAATCATTATATTATAAGGGAAGAGAACTATCGGGAGGAAAGCGCCAAGCCATTACGACTATATAGCACTTGGAAGGGGTCAGGATAAGGATTTAGGATGGGGGGAAGGGAGGGAGGGAATGGTGCCCAACCACTTGGACGATCGGGGATTGAACGCCGACCTGCATGAAGCGAGACCATCGCTCTACCGTCCAGCCCAAGTGGCCCATCTTATTATAAGGGCATGGGCTGCAGCATTTGTCACATTATACAGATTTGTAACTTACTCTGCTGTTACTGTACCATGTCTGCTCTATAGCATACTCCCACTGTCAGTTTGCTACCACTATGAGCTAGTATATTGCACTGAACCAATTCTGAGGATCCCACATTATTTAATTCCTCACTACTGGTTACAGTCAACTCTTCTTTTAGATATAATATCATACACCTGCTCTTGTTCTGTCTTTTCTGAAAGGTGGATAGTATCCCGGAAAATGGAATTCTCCTTCAATTATGACTTTACATCCTAATGTTTTATTACTCCAAATGATGTTGAGATTCTCAAACTTAGTGTATGCACACAATGCATCAAATTTATTTACCCTATTGTACTATATTTACCCTATTGTATTGTATATTTATTTATAAGGTTTTGTTAACTAAATTATTCCAAGTTTTCCCCGAAACGCTTTGCGAAGTATTTTTATTGAACCCCTGTTGCTTATCAATAATATGCTTTGGTTTTATTAATATGCAACCCTTGTACCTTCAAGTATACCTTTGTATTATGACCTTATTTATACATATTTTATGAATAAAATATTACTATTGTTATTATATTATAAACTCATGGAACTGCCTACCCGCCGAAGCCGTAAACGGCAAAAAAAAAAAATGATGAACTTAAAAATCCAGCTTGAAAAAAATCATCAGGACAAATTGAGAGGACCTTAACAAGCCGGCGGCTTCCTGTTCTCGTCGAGGCCACTAGTGTTAGTGACCCTCGGGTAAATTCAGGTATAATTTGTATTATTATTAATATTTTTATTTTTATTATTATGGCCAGGCTTGTAGCACTTGTGTAGAAGCAGTTTAAATGGGAAAGACTGCGCAAACTACATTACTCCGTGCGTTGTCTCTCTAGTTTAGTGGCAGTTTAATTTTCGTTGCAGAATTCGAGCTAATTTTTCCCTGGCTTTCCAATCTCTGCTGTAAAAGTCGCAATATTTCTGAAAAAAATTAGGGATGACAGGAGAACAGTTACTGACAATCAAAGGTCAGAAAGCACGAGTATAAAGAGCTATGACATGTTTAGAACCAAGAATTATATATACGGGCAGCATTAAACATCCACTAGACAGTGTGACATGGTAATTGTCAGAATTAGGCTGGGATATCGATATCTATGGCAGGTGGCTGCTGGTAATGAATCCCCAATGGTGAACACTCCAATTGTTAACTATGTGAACAAGAGCTGGGACATACTCTCCAATACTATATCTGTGATTGTGATTGATAAGTGACTTCAGACCAAATGGTATGAGGTACGTTGAGCTCTGTAAAAAAAAATTATTTGAGAGAAATCTTATATAAACTGATAAAAATAATTATAATATATTTCCATGATTCAGTGCTTAGCTCTTATGAAAATCGTAAAGTTATTATTTATTCAAAGTTAATTTATATTTGTATTGAGCCAGGTATTTTCTCCCCTGATTTCATGTATGACTAACCATCCTGTGAGATGGGAATATTAGATGAATTTACAGCTTATTATTTTATCTACACTGTGTAATCTTTCATATATAATAAGGCAGCAACACATTGCTGTGTATACTTAAGCTTGTTAATACAAAAATGTAAGGCTGATCTATTAGTCTCCCCTGGCAAAATCTGGGTACAGCACAAGAATATCTTCAAATAATCGTGTGTATGAAGTAATTACAGAGCTCTAAGTACCTCATACCATTTGGTCTGAAATCACTGATAACAGGGCAATCATAGATATAATGTTGGAGAGTATTTTCTAGCTGTTGTTCACACAGCTTACAATTGGAATGTTCACCATTGGGGGATTCATTACCTGCAGCCACCTTATACATTTACATTTTAATTGTCGTTGCAGAATTATAGTTCTGCCTCACTGTGTGTAGGACTTCATCTGTATATATCTTTCTTCATTTTGGTTAAACCCGTCCTCTCCTTATGTATATGTATGTATTCATGTGTGTGTATGTAGAAAGCTTGAAAGTTCACAAGCTACACTTACAAGAGTAACAGAAGCCATGGGCACCACACCAGAAACAAATACCTATTTGATATTCCAAGAGTACGACTTAATCAAACTAGAAATGCTCTGAAAATCAAGGGACACAGAATATGGAATGACCTTCCCAATCACGTCAAAGGCTGTACCTCTCTCAACCAGTTTAAGAGAAATTTTAGTCTTAAGTGTTTTTCCCCATCTTGCCCTAAACGCTGTGCGTAGTAGTGGCTTCAGTCACTGTATGTACTGGAGCTCTTTCTAGAAATCCAACATGATGTTTGTAACTCATCTTGTATGCATGTACTTTTTACCTGAATAAACATTTAATTTGATTTGAAGTAATTCACTCAATGAACCCTCATTCAGTTCCGTATTTCAAGAGTTAAATTGATATATTTACCGTTTTTATATAAATATTTGGCGTACATTATTATGCGACACATTATCTAACGTGAAAACTGTCTCTTCATCAGAGTTGGAAATAATTAGTATATGATAACATTATATAAAAAGAAAATAAAAAATTAAAAAAATTCCGGTAAATACACGTAAATAAATAAATACTGGAGAGAATTTTTGGGGGAATTAGTGTTGTGTGAAGAGTAGCGTGGGGCGACCAGTAGTCAGTCACGCTCTTGTCTCTCTCTCCTCTCCAGCCTCCTCCTCCTCATCTCCTGCCACTCTCCTAGCATCCAGCAGCCAGGCACTTGACTCCGGTAGGTGTGGTGAGTGCCAGGGGTGACAGAGAGTGCCAGGCTAGGTGCTGGAGGTGCCACACACACACTCACACTTGCCCCCTCACAAGATGGATTGGTAGCGGGCCGCCGCGTCGTCATCTCTCAAACAGCTCCACGAGACTGTTATTACAGTTTTCTTGTTATGGGAGACTGGAAGGCCGAGTTGTGGATGATATTGTGTTTCCGTGGGAGTTTTGGGGGGACGTTTTGTTAATTGTTTCATGCTGTCAGTTATTAAGTTTGTATTTGGGGACATTATGAGAAAATGTCTGTGGTGTGGGGCTGCGGATTCAAGGTGAAACCTGAGCCAGGTAGACTGGTAGCCCAGGCCAGGTAGACTGGCAGCTCAGGCTAAGTAAACTGTTAGCCCAGGCCAGGTGGACTGGTAGTCCAGGCCAGGTAGACTGGTAGCTCAGGCCAGGTGGACTGGCAGCCTAGGGCAGGTAGACTGGAATAGGTACACTTAGCAGAACAATGTTGGTAAACCTTTAGATCATTTATGAACTGTTTACTTGCCTTGAGCACTTTAGTTTGGTTGAATATGCATCATGAATCAATTTATAATTGATCCATCAGTAGTTAGTATTAGGACAAGTTGCCCAATTTAAAAATTTTCCCATTTAAACTAGCCACTTTTTCCTGAGTGGGGTCTAAGAGCTGGCAAATGTTTAATCCATTTATGTCTGTATCAGAACACACTTAACCTAACCTGACTAAACAAAAATAATAAGATAATATTGTAATTACCCACTGGGGAGCCGGTCAGCCGAGCGGACAGCACGCTGGACTTGTGATCCTGTGGTCCTGAGTTCAATCTCAGGCGATGGCAAGAAACAATGGGCAGAATTTCTTTCACCCAATGCCCCTGTTACCTAGCAGTAAAATAGGTACCCGGGTGTTAGTCAGCTGTCACGGGCTGCTTCTTGGGGGGTGGAGGCCTGGTCGAGGACCGGGCCGCGGGGACACTAAAAAGCCCCGAAATCATCTCAAGATAACCCAGGAGTAGTTGTCCTGTCTTCCTGGTATTCTTTGTCATATGAAGATTTGAATCAACTGACAGTTTTGGCATCCATCTTCTCACTTAACTTGTTCCAACTGTCTAACACTCTGCAAAACTTTTTGCAGAGTGTTAGACAGTTGGAACAAATTAAGTGAGAAGATGGTGGATGCCAAAACCGCCAGTTGATTCAAAGCTTCATATGACAAAGAATACCAGGAAAACAGGACACCACAAGTGTAGCTCAACTACTCTTGGGTAATTACAATATTATATTATTATTTTGTTTAGTCAGGTTAGGTTAGGTTAAGTGCATTCAAATACAGACTTAAATGGATTAAACATTTGCCAGCTCTTAGACCCCACTAAGAGCTGGCAAGTGATTGATTGATTCTTCTACTTCAATCTTCTGGGGGTAGAAGAACTCCAGAACCCATCTAGGTACAGTCCAGGTACCCCAGGAGCTTGTCGGCTTGTGGGATTGCATCCTGGGGATGGTCATTAATTTGACCCTGGAGGGAACCGCAATATAAGCCTAACATGTACTGTATGTGTAAACTGGCAGCCTGTTCCCTGTCACATTGAATTATTATTATTGTTATTATTGGATAAAAACCCACACTTGTGATTTGTGAAATTTATGTAAGGAATTTACACCAAGTCTTTCACACTCTTCTGAGTGCTTTGTCAAGGTCTCAGTGTGTGATTAGGACGAAACTTTCATCTCGACATCTAATAATAATTGTTATTATTGTTATTATTATTACTAAATTATTACTAAATTATTGAATTATTATATTGTTACTTGTGAAGTTGCTAGATATGTCAGTCTGGCATATACTGTACTTTCCGTAATCTTTAATTTTGTAGACACCAAAATCCACACATTTGAAAAATAAAGGAAATCATGACCGAAATGTTATCACATCCTTTATTTTCAGATGTGCTGGCTGGGTGTCTAATTTTCAGCCATGTTATTGTGACTTACTGTCATCATACATTTGTACAGTACAGTAGTCTAATCATGATCAAGTAAATTTTATTTTTTCTTGATTAAAATCTTAAAGTATAGTGGTTTTACGTTTTTACAACGGAAGTATTCTTTCTGATGTAGGTTGGTAATATTGGTTGTCTGCAATCATGGCAGAGGAGAGTATGAAGCCAGAAGACCTGAAGAGACTTCAGGTGTTTATTGATGCATGTCGTGAAAACCCCAAGATTCTTCATCTTCCAGAGCTTTCATTCTTCAGGTAAGATACAGCAACAGTAGTAGATTTGTACTATACAATATTAACCATTTATTACAAAATGTGTGTGACTTATGCCTAAAATTTATCATTTATCAAGAGTATACCACAGTACTGAATATCACATATTTTGAATATTAAACACATCCTGAAGCTAATTATAGAAACATTTTTGTTAAGCAATTACCTATTTTGTTGATTATGTGGGAGCTAGGTCAAGTTCTTCATGCCTCACCTCCTATCCTTATATACCTAGTGTGTGCTAATTACATCATTTCAGTTATATTTTCTGTGGGGAGCCCCTACGGTTCCTGGAACTTAGCTGGCTGATATATATGTATTAGAGCATGGCATCAGTCGATGGAGTTCTTGCCTACCGGGGACCACGAGCCAGACCCTGGCTTCCCCTCAGAGAGGCACGAGTAGCAGTGGCTACTCGTGCCCCTGGACTCTCCATGCCGGCTGCTCCAGCACTCAGTTCCTCGGCTGATGTGGACTGTAGCGGTCATCGACTCTGGCCTCTGACCCTTTGCAGTTCTGTGCCTTACCTGCTTGAGGAGTTCTGGGAGTTGTTTTACTCCCCAAGGCCAGGTTTGACTTGTAGGAGTTTGGTCTCCCAGGTTGTTGCTTGGCGCAGCCCGCAGTCTCACATACCCACCACAGCCCGGTTGGTCCGGCACTCCTTGAAGAAAACTATCTAGTTTTCTCTTGAAGACGTCCACGGTTGTTTCGGCAATATATCTTATGCTCGCTGGGAGGATGCTGAACAACCGTGGACCTCTGATGTTTATACAGTGTTCTCTGATTGTGCCCTGGAAGAAAATGAAGAATAGAATAGAACCACAAAAGAGCAGGGGAGCACCCCCCTTGCTCTTTACTGGTTCTATTCTTCATTTTCTTCCATATCGTTCACTCCAGTACATTGTTATTTTACTGTGCAGATTTGGGACCTGGCCTTCCAGTATTTTCCACGTATATATTATTTGATATCTTTCTCTCGTCTTCTTTCTAGTGAGTACATTTGGAGAACTTTGACACGATCCCAAAAATTTAGGTGCTTTATCGCGTCTATGCCGTATATGTTCTCTGTGTTCCCCTCTATTTCAGCAATTTCTCCTGCTCTGAAGGGGGAAGTGAGCACTGAGCAGTACTCAAGCCGGGCCAGCACAAGTGATTTGAAGAGTACAACCATTGTGATGGGATCCCTGGATTTGAAAGTTCTCGTAATCCATCCTATCAATTTTCTGCCTAATGCAATATTTGCCTTGTGGTGTATTTCTGGGGTGTGTGGTGCATAGTCCAGGAGTAATTCATCATTACTGAGGGCTTCGTTGATGGTGTTCCATCTACATGCTTCGTCTTGGTGGCAGTATAAAGTTTCCGGGTGCTCTTTTTGCTATTTTCTCTCTTCATAGGTTGTCTTCTATTTTGGATAGGGTTGTCTTGTCCTTTCTTCGATTTTCAGGACCATCACTTGATGTCTAATACTGTCACCTCATATCGTGCATCGCTGGTGGAGCCTCTTCAGCTTGCGTTTGGGGTGGATGTTACTTCTGCCCTGTTCCATAAGCTTTCTCGTGCTTTGTTTTATCTCCGGCCTGCTCATGCGCCGTTTGAGCTGTCTTGGTCCTTGGACAGGGTGCTCTCCTTTCTCTCTTCTCCTCAGTTTGTGGTATCCCCTTTAGTACAAGATTATTTTTCCAAGGCTCTTTTTCCTGTTGGCATTAGCTTTTTGGGGGTCAGGTAGGGAAGCTTCATGCTCTCCTCCGGCGCAGAGGTTTCTGGTCTTTCGGTCCTGGCGGTAGGTTTGTTCATTTGCAGTTGTCTCCTTCATTTTTGGCGAAGAATGAGTCAATGGCTTTCCGGAGGGTTCCTTGATTCGTTGGTGCTTGGTTGGTCAGGCCGGGGATGCATCATGTGTTGTGTTCGGTTGCGACTTTGCCGTTACCTGCACGCCACAACCTCTGTGGCTGGGGATGTACTTTGGGTTGACCTGGATTCCCTTGTTTCCTGTTCCCAGGCTCAGGTCTCCTAGGTTGTCTGCAAGGTTATTCGGTCCAGCCAGCCTGCGGTCTATCCTTGAGCCCATGACGTTTGTAAGTTTGCTGCTTTGACTGCCATCTTTGGTAACATGTCTTGGCCTGACATTGGGGCACAGGGATTTTGGAGGTCGAACAGGGTCCTGGCCGCGTGTTACTTAGTCAACGTTCCTAGCCCTAGTCGGGCGTGTCGCTTTGGTTGCAGGCTGCAGTCAGTTGTCTCAAACTTCGAGTTAGAGATGCTAGTGGCGGCCATCTCTCGGGTAAGTCCCTCTTGTCACTTTTCTTTGTTTAGGTAGCTCCGAGGAGCCATAGGGGCTACTCCACAGAAAATCAGCATTGAATGAAATGAAACTCCATTTTGTGGGTGATCCCTGGAGGCTCCCCGGCACCCCTCCCTCTCTCCGGTCAGCGATTTTTCGCATTGGCTTTTTATGCTCAGCTTCGGAACTGAATGCTGGAGTGGCCGGCACGGTGGGGTCCGGGGCCCTCTTCCCCCTCTTGGGGAGGGAAGCTGCATGTACAAGCGGAGCAATGGCGTGAGTGATGTTTGCTTGTTTTAGTTTGAGAGTTCTGCCTCCCTGTTTGGTTTTAGGTAGTAATTTTTACCATGTGGAGTTTGTTTTGTTACACCTACCTTTCTGGGTGCGAAACCCTGGTCGATGGCAAACATGGAATGCTTCCAAACATATGGGGGGTTTCCACAGGCCATTGCTCCTCCTGTCTCTCTGAGGGGGCCAGGTTCTGGCTCGTGGTCCCCGGTAAACCAGAACTCCATCGACTGATGCTGTGGTCTAATACATACATATCAGCCCGGTAACACCGGGGAGCCTCCGGGGCTCACTCAGAAATGGCATTTCATTACATTCAACGCTGGGTCTTTTCTTGACGTTATGGATAGTAATAATGTTTTTGACAATTTCATCCTTCAATGCATTCCACTTACCAACCTCCCTTAAAGCCACAAGAATTTCCTTGCATTTCAATTACTCAGTTGTGAATCCAGCTTCCACTGATGTTCTCTTGTCCTACCTCCTTTCTATATAAATAGGCTGTCCTTGTTCACATTGTTTTTTTTCCACTCAGTATCTTTATATGTAATGATAGTAAATCCTGTATAGTAAATCCCCCACATTAGCATGTGGATTTACCGTCATACACAAACCTGATATTTAGTGAATATAACCGAGCAAATATAGTGGCAGCCAGGAAAATGATAGAATGGATTATGAGAACATTCAAATCCAGAGATTCCACACCAATGCTAATACTATTTAAATCACTGTTGTTGTCCCATCTTGAGTACTGCTCAGTACTCACTTCCCCCTTCAGAACAGAAGAGATTTCTGAAATCGAGGGAATACAGAGAACCTGTACAACATGCATAGACATGATAAAACATCTAAATTATTGGGACCATCTCAAAGCTCTCAGAATGTACTCTCTGCAAAGGAAATAAGAGCGGTATCAATTAATATATACATGGAAGATACCAGGTCACAAATTTGCATGGTAGAATAACAACATACTGGAGCGAAAAATATGGAAGGAAGTGCAGAATAGAATGAGTGATACGTAGAGGTGCCATAGGCACAATTGGAGAACGTATCAGTTCAGTAGAGCTGTTCAGTACCCTCCCAACAAGCATTAGAAATGTTGCCGGAACAAAGGTGGCTGTCTTTAGAAAGTATTTACCTAAGTTCTCACAAGACATGCCAGACCAACTAGGATGTAGTGGACATGTAGGCCTGCAGGCCACTCCAAGCAACAGCCTGTTGGACTAAGTTGTTACAAGTTAGCACAAGATGGGGAATAAAAGAACCCTCTCCAGGTATGCTCCAGGCATGCTCATAGCTGTTTATACCTGGTGCACTAATTATGTCTCTCAACATTAAGATTTTTATAATATTATCATTGTAAGTTGTGGATGGAATTGGGTTGATCAGCCTCTTCCATCAGTACATTCACTTTGATGACCACTCATACAAGGAACGAAAAGTTCCTTGCATCTCTATGACTTAATTGTGTGTTCATCTTCCATCGAAGTCCTCTTGTCCTGCCTGATTTTAATTTAAATATGCTTCTTTTGTCTACTTTGCCTATTCCCTTCGGAATCTTGTATGTTGTGATTCTGTTTCTTTTGTTATTGTGATTTTATTTCTTTTGCCCTTGTTTCGTCTCTATTATTCGGTTGTAAGGAGAGTTCCTTCAGCCTGTCCTTATAGCTGAGCCGTCTCAATTCTGATACTAATTTAGTTGCAAAACTGAACTTTTAATTTTTTTTTTTTGCTTCACAAGGTGTGGGTTCCATACTGGTACTGCATACTCAAATAATGATCTCTTAGGTAGTGTGTATGGACTTAAAGCCTTCTTGTTTAGATTTTTAAATGGTATTCTTATGTTTGCCATCTTCCCATGTGTTGCTGATGTTATACTGTTTACATGAGCTTCTGGTGTTAGTAGTGGGATTATGTCTACTACCAGGTCTTTTTCTCTTATTGTTTCTTGTAGTTGCTTTCCCCTTATGATCTACTAAAATACAGATCTCCCTTATCCCTTACCCATTTTTATTACTTTACACTTATTGTACTTGAATTCCAGCTGCAATTTATGCATTTGCTCGTGAAGTTTGTCAAGGTCTTTTTTGCAGCATTCTACAATCCTCTTCAGTTCTTACTCTCATTAACTTTGCATCATCTGCAAACATCAACATGTATGAGCTCACGCTCTGTGATGTTACAGTATTTACATACAGTAGAAAGAACAGTGAGCTTCTGGATAGGCAAGTGTTTTTGCTGCAGATTTAGTTCTGACTTGACACTTGCTTTTTCCAGTGGGCATTCTTTTATTATTGTAGGAGTTGTGTGGTGCATGCCACAGTTTGCCCGAGAGATTTGGAATACAGCATACCAGTATTGAGGTTCCATTTTTTTCTCTTATGCCTTCCTCATTCTTGTTTTGCTGTACCTAAATTAATTGCTTAATCTACTTTTATTTTATTCTGCTATAAATAACACGGCATTCACATGAATATGTAATACTGTACTGTATACATATATACTTGATATACAATATTTACGTTATATAACCACCTAAACACAATCATGAGGCTTTGTCAATTTCATTAATACTTAGGGTTGTCCTTTATTACATAATATTGATATGTATTGCATTTTATTCTTGTGTTCTTCACTTCTAATGACTTTCTAAAGTTTATACATTTTGTATTGTTAAAATTTCAACGTGCGCTAATGGCATACAAGAATTGCCGTTACTTTTGACTACCGTAACTCGAGAGATCTTTTGTCATGAACATGATTTATTTTGCAGAGAATACCTGCTGAGTCTGGGTGCAAAGTTGCCGATGAAACCCACTTCGCCAAAACCTGAGGAGGAGCCAATGCAAAATTCTGAACCTGAATCAGAATTGGAAGAAAGTGATGTTGAGCTGAACAATGAAGGGGTGATTGGTAGGTTTTATATCCTGTGTAGATATTTCTGAATTAAAATGGGAACATACTTGAAAATAACTCATTTAGCATCTGATATATAATTTTTATTTAGGTTGAAATCTATTATTTTATAACAGAACTGGTTTAATAAAAATTGTGAGAGGTCCAGAGAACGAAAGACAAAAAAGTGGAATCACTATATGAATGGGCTAAACCCACAGATGTTCCAATACTACAAACAAGCCCAAAAGAACTACACAGCAGTGAGAAGAGAAACATCAAGATACTTTGGGGAAAAAATCATGGACAAATGCAAGACAGATCCCAGCCTATTCTATAAATTCATGAAAAGCAAATTACAAGTGAAAGACAAAATGTATAGACTACAAATGGAAAACATACTTTGAAACTGAACAGGAAATGTGTGAAACACAAAGTGAACACTTCCAAAGTGTGTTTGACCAGAATAAGATTTTCAGCCACCAGCAGCAGTATCAACTTTTGAATGCAACTTAAGAGTATATGTAATTGTCTAGAGATGAGGTAGAAAAACTTTTGGGAGATACAGTATACAAAAATAAAGCAGTGGTCCAGTTGGAGTTTTGTCTTGGTTGTTAAGGTACTGTAATGTGAATCAGATTAGTGCCCCTACTACAAATTTTCTTCCAAACATCCCTTACAAATAGGGAATCTAACATAAGGAAAAAGGCAAACTGTTCCAATCTATATAAGTGCGAACATGGAAGACCCTCTAAACTAGAGATCGTATATCATTGGCAAAACTGGTAGTTAAAGCGTTATCAAAATAATTGAAATTCAATGGACAGATTTCCTAGAAAGAAATGACACAATAGCGAACAATTGGCTATTAAGTGGGAAGGTCTTGTTTTACAAATCTTCTTAGTTTTAAGATAGAGCCATAGAGATCATCTAAGAAAGGAAAGGTTGTGCTGATTGCATATTCCTGGACCTGAAATAAGGCCTTTGGCAAAATCCCACACAAGAGACACTCATGAAAGTTTGAACACAAAGCAGTGATGACAGACTACTGAATTGGTAATGGATGAAAATTTTCTAATGACAGATAAATTAGAGCAGTGATCAGAGGTAATGTATCTAACTGGAGAAATGTCACAAGCAGAATATTTCAAAGTTCAGTTCTTGCATTTGTAATATTCATTATCTATGTAAATGATAACCAGAGGGAATACAATTACAATACAGAGGAAAGAACTCAAAAACAAGAGTTATGAGAAAAGGCTAGAGGTGTTAAACATGGCAAAGCTAGATGATAGAAGAAAGCGAGGTGATATGATCACCACTTACAAAATAATACAGTATTGGGAATCGACCAAATTGATAAAGAGGAATTCCTGAAACCTGCATCCTCAAGAAGAAGAGGTCACAGATTCAAGCTAAGGAAACAAAGGTGCTGAAAAAATATTAGAAAGGATTCTTTTGCAGAGTTGTAGACGGTTGGAACAAGTTAGTGAGAAGATGGAGGAGACCAAAACCATGAGTACTATAGTTTCAAGGCATTACAGTATGTGACAAGAAATCCTGGGAAGATGGGACATCACGAGTGTAGCTCTCATCCTGTAGCTGCGCTTAAATAATTACATACATGCATATACTGTGAAGATTGTTATGTTGGAATGGGCAAGTTTGGTCATCGTTATTTGTTGATGGGAAACTAAGAGCTGAAGTCCGACTTACTCTAAATTATTTTCTGACCTTGCATGACAGGTAGGAGACACTATTGTGCTATTGGAACCATATGGGTAACATTGGTATTCAGGCATTGAAACAAAATATAGATTTTGTCATTGTAGTCAAAATGTAGATCTTCATTTGATTATGACCACATTACACTGGATCAATACATGATGTTGACTACACTTTAGGGGTTAAATGATAAACATGTATACAATATTTAGTTTTTTTAATCCTCAATAGAACCCGAAACGGTAGATCCTCCTGAATTGGGTGATAGCAATAATGTACCATCAGAAGAAGATATGGATGCAGCTGATGAAAAGCGTTCTGAGGCAATGATGGCTCTTTCCGATGGGGACCTGCAAAAAGCTGTTGATCTCTTCACAGAAGCAATAAAACTTAATCCAGGTAACGTGAATTAAAAGCTTGCTCACTTCATTTGATTGTAACAACTAGTACTGGCCAGAACAAATCTGATATGCCCATGCATAACAGACCTACCTGAGAAGTACTTCCATTGCATGTGTTTATCCCCCTTTACTTTTTCAGTAAAGAGGAATCATATTATAGATGCCTGAATGACCTCTAGCTGTGGTCATCTTCAATGTTTGGCATGTACTTCACCTTATAAAGTACTGTACTCGACCTGTTTTCTCTCAACTTGGTGGATCACCAGCCACTTTGTGCCTTACTGTAGCTTGATTTAGTCTTCAGTGTTCTCTTATGTTGCTCCTTTCTCAAGATGGCAATATTGGTAATTGCTAAATAATGGTCTTGTATTTGGGCCATAGCAATTAATGTTTAAAAACCTGATATGGTAAGTATGGATAAAAAAGTGAATTTTTATTTAGAAAAATTTAGATCTTGTCATAGAAAAAATTAGGTTTAGAATATAGAGTGTAGAGTAGGAGTAAATTTATAGTAAATGTTGAAAAAACCCAGGGCAATTGATTTTGAAAGTCAAGAGTGTGAGATGGGAGCTTATTATGTTTTACATTATACTCAAACAAAATTTGAAATTTAGACTGAAAATATTGAAAATGTACTAGGAGCTGTAAGGAAGTTAACTTCCTTACAGCTTACTTCCTAACATAATGAACTTGCATACTGGATTACATAACAGTATATGGATACTGAACAGTAATCTGTTTAAGGCCAGTTTTAAACAATTTTGAACCAATTGCTTCCAAATGAGTCTTGTGCTGGGGTAATCTACTCTAGCTTAAGTAAAACTGCCTTCTAACCGCCAAACCTGTAAAGGCTCATCATATAAACCAACCCAAGCTTCCAAGCTTTAGTTAAACAGAACTTTTAGGCTTACATGTGTGCAAGAAATATAACTTGTTTATATAAAAATAAGTTTTTAGAAATGCAGTGAAAGATAATGTATTTCCAGCAATGTTGTTCACTTACACTTTGAATGTTTATTTTTTTGTTTTCTAAAAAAAAAAAAATATTAAAAAAAAATCATTTCACTGAAACAGACCTTGTCTGTGAACCTGGGGACCTCACCAAAAATTCTGGCAGTTGGGCCCCGCTGCTCTCAAGGCCGACCCTGCTTCACCACTCATTGCTGTCAATTATGGTTATGAGTGTGACAGACAGAACTAAAATTTCTACTGATTTAATGAGATATTTATTTTATACCTGCAATATGTTTTATTTACAAAGATTAATTTATTAATTTTTATTAATTTTTTTTCTCATTGAATTTGAAAATGATAACATCTTGCTCATGGAATTCAGTTTACAATTAATTTACATCAAGGTTTGCAATCACTGTTGGGTATTCAGGCAAATTGAATTTAAGTTGTTGCTCAAAAATGCTCTTCCCTGCTTGCGACTCAAACCCGTAATGTTGTGCTTGTAAAGCTAATGTACTGTACTTGCAACTGCACTGTTTTCTGGTTTATATTACATGGGATAAGTCTTGCAGAATCTGCTATGCTGTATGCCAAGCGAGCTAGTGTGCTTCTGAAGCAGAAGAGGGTAAAAGCTGCAATCAGGGACTGCAATGAGGCACTTAAGCACAATCCAGACTCTGCTGGTGCCTATAAATTCCGTGGACGAGCTAACAGGTAAAATCGGTCTTTGTTTTATTGGTTTAAAGCTCTTTACTTTATATGATGTAAAATGTAAGACTTTTGTAAATGTAATGAGACTTTAGCATGTCAGTTTATATGTTTTTGATTACTTTTTCATATCATTGTTTTAAGTTGAAAAAAAAATTTAATGACTTCTGTGGCCATATATATAATTACATGGGAATGAAAACTCACACCCCAGAAGTGACTCGAACCCATACTCCCAGGAGCAACGCAACTGGTAACTACAGGGCGCCTTAATCCACTTGACCATCACGGCCGTCAAAAGGAAGTGATAGCCAAGGCTATTTGAGCCACTTCCCCGACGGATAGCATTTCACCAAATCACCTCATTCTTTGGGGCACACGTGAGGAACACAAATGCGAACAAGCCTGAATGGTCCCCAGGACTATATGCGAATGAAAACTCACACCCCAGAAGTGACTCGAACCCATACTCCCAGGAGCAACGCAACTGGTAACTACAGGGCGCCTTAATCCACTTGACCATCACGGCCGTCAAAAGGAAGTGATAGCCAAGGCTATTTGAGCCACTTCCCCGACGGCAACTCGGATGGTAATCTTGGGCATAGCATTTCACCAAATCACCTCATTCTTTGGGGCACACGTGAGGAACACAAATGTGAACAAGCCTGAATGGTCCCCAGGACTATATGCGAATGAAAACTCACACCCCAGAAGTGACTCGAACCCATACTCCCAGGAGCAACGCAACTGGTAACTACAGGGCGCCTTAATCCACTTGACCATCACGGCCGTCAAAAGGAAGTGATAGCCAAGGCTATTTGAGCCACTTCCCCGACGGCAACTCGGATGGTAATCTTGGGCATAGCATTTCACCAAATCACCTCATTCTTTGGGGCACACGTGAGGAACACAAATGCATGGGGTGTGTGCAAAATATGTTGTCAGTATATAGCTCATAGAAAGATTGTAAGGTAGTGAAAAAGCATTTTAGTTATTGTTTGGTAGAAGTGATAGGTTATTGACTAATTTTTTATCAATCTTAAGATTAAAGGTGTTTTGCTACTAAATATCAATATCCCTATCCCAATATTTAGGGATATCAATATCCCTAAATATCAATATATCCCTATTCACACTCATAGTGTAAGGAAATTATTACGAGGAGGTGTATGAGGATTGTGGGTTCCATATTTATTGTAGTGTAAAAGGTAGTTTAAAAGTAAATGACAAATAATAATTAGAGGAAATCTGTCGTTTTTGGTCAATCGTGGGTCCCGAATGCTCCCCTCACCTTGATGAACACGCCAGATTCTGGTTCGATAGTCCTACACAAGTCTTGAGGCCTAGTAGTTTTCGGATACTCTTTGGTATTAGAGCCAATGTATTGTTTAGTTACTGAGGCCCAGCCTCCACCCAAAAAATATAAGCAATGTAAAATTTACATGAAATAATATTTAATAAATATCAATATCTCTTATATACTTAATGTTTCACTGTAATGTTTGTGTGAAACATGTTTGGTGTATTCATAATACTAAGCCTTAAGAGTCGTGTGAAATTGGATAAAAAAATTAACAAAAAATTTGTGGATCTAGATCAAAGCAAAGGCATACAAAAATGTCATCACAACTACACATGCTGTTGATTTCAGACAAATACATTTGACTAAAGAAGCTGGATTGGAACATTCATCTGTCCAAAACATTTGGTCACTCTCCTATGAATGGTTGGGTGTTGATTAATTTCTCATTTTACTCTACAGTATTTAATTAATAAAACAATATTTTCCTAGGTTGCTGGGCAACTGGCTGGAAGCAGCAAAGGATCTTAGGCTGGCCTGCAAACTAGACTTCGACGAGCAGACAGATGAATGGCTAAAAGAGGTGCAACCGAATGTAAGTAGAGCATTGTATTGCATAATCATATGAGGGGTTCTTTACTTCAGTAGATTGTTGCATTTTCATGCTAATTGAAGTTCTGTCAATGATTTTTCAATTTGTGGTTATTCTTGTCACATATCACTTGAGGACTCGAAGGCATCACCTCCATTTGTAGATTCTGTCTTATTATATTTTTTCTTAACTTTTATCACCCACATTCATTTGAATATACAAAGTGAATGGCGAGGCTTTATTACAACCCAAATTTGTGTCGGGACATAAATCCCAACACAAGATTATAGATCCTCCATGATCTTCAATGTTGTTGTTATTTGATGGAGGAGACATGGGGTAGAATTACTTTGTGATCAAAGTGCTGAGGGTCTGAATCTTTGTGCAAAGCACTTTCTTGTGGAATCAGGCATTGTGTTTGATAACTGTTCCAATAAATTTTGTCCTTTTCTGATCCATTATGACTTATGGTACACTATCACAAGTAGTTCCAACACAAAATCTCTGGAACAAAAATGTAGGTATGAGTGATGGGATGATTGGTTCTCTGATAACCTCTACCTATACTCTAATTGTGTATTAAAAAAAAAACCACTACAAATATGGTTAAGGAAGTCATTTTCAGAAAATTTGTGATTGGATCACATGTTTTAACATTACAGTATATGATTTAATTATGCAAACCACAGATAATACTAAAATGCATCATTGGACCACAGAAGTGACATTGTGATGATAACCAACTTCAATACTGTACACCAATTATTGAGAAAAATTTCAACAGGCTAATAAGTTGGAAGAACACAACCGTAAATATGAACGCCAGAGGAAGGATAAAGAGCTGGGAGAGAGGAAAGAACGTGCACGTAAAGCTCAAGAGGAAGCAAAGAAGGTAGGATCATTCCTTTTTTTTCCACTAATTTGTGAAATGTCTTGTATATTCTGTCCAAACATTGGTGAGATATATATGCCTTAGTAAAATATTGCTGGATTTCCTTATACAAAGTCTTCTTAACCCTTGCACTGCTCACCTATTTTCGGCAAAAACGTCTTGGTGCAATTGACATGGACATATTTTTGTTATTTTTACAAATGTTCAGGTAAATTTAATGTCAAAATGTTTCCAATGTCAACTATTTCCATTTCAAAACACAAATAGTAATGAAAACATTAAAAAACATTAAAATATAGCCAAATTAAAAAACAAAAAGCACAACTCTCTGAGCGCCTAAAGGCGCTTTGCGCAGTGCAGTGGTTAATTATCATATATCCAGTGCTGCCACTAATGCATTATCAACATTTACAGGGCTTCTCTTTTTTTTTATATATAGTGGTTGCCAAATGATTTGAATCGCTTCATAATATGGATGAAATCTGGGTATTGTTGCTCATTGCTTGATTGTATAAACTCGAGTGTGTGCACAGTGTCAAATCCAGATTTACGTTTGCTATTAGTGTAAAAAAAAAAAATTGAAGCTTTCCATGTGAATTCTTTTTAAATATGCAGGTTATTCCAATTTTCATTGTTTTCTTATAAAGCAGATGAGATCTTGTCTCATTGATCAGGATAATTAGGCAATCACTGCATTCTAATATGTATAGGGATGAGTTGTGTTGGGGTTATGTATCCTCTGATCGTTCTCAACTAGCATTGTTAGATTAAGCTCCCTTAATCTTTGTCCATAGCTGCTTTATATTTCTGTCTCCAGTCTTATAGTAAATTGCTGAACCTTTTCAGTTTTCTGTTTTTTTGTACTGAGGCTTCTCAGCACAAAAGTACAATCTGTATGTTTGTACTGAGGCTTCTCAGTACAAAAGTACAATCTGTATGTTTGTACTGAGGCTTCGGAATCTCCTCAGTTTTCCTAAGGCTGTTTTGGCTTTGTTTTGTCAGTCCCTTATGTGAATTTTTATCCCTGTTTTATTGATCATGAGTCCCAGTATTATGCCTACATCTGCATATTGGATTGGCCAGTTATCAAGGATAATGGGGTCTGGGTTTCTTTCTGAAGTGCGTATTATCTGGAACTTTTGTTTATTTGTGCTAATTTTCCATTGCTACTCAAAATTGCTTATGAATTCAATTGCTGTCTTGGTCTTGTTGGCTAGTAGTGGCTTTGATGGTCTTAATTGGCATATTATTTGGGTGACATAATCAGCATTTGTGATGTATTCTGCATGTTGGGGTTGGGGTAGGTCAGCTGTATATATATGTTGAATAGAGTGGGAGAGGGGCAGCTTCCGTGTGGTACTCTACTTTTCAGTTCTATTATGTCACACAAGTAGCTGCCGATATTGAGCGTAGCAGTATATCTGTGGGAGTCCTACCTTAGATATCTTATATTTTAGGTCTTATATATTACTGTGTGCCCAACTTTGTCGAAGGCTTTCGAAACGTCTCTAAGCACTATATTACGCTAATCTTTTTTTCAACATTGCGTTAGCTATGTGCTCAAGATAGATCAGGGCTATAGCTGTATGGGCCCCTCTGCAGTTTCTAAACCCATGTTGCCTGGTGTTATACTTCTCTTCTGTCTTCCTCTTCGATGGAAAGTGGCAGGTGGTAGAGATTTTGTCAACAAATTTGAAGTTTTTGGAATGTTACACTTTTTCTCATATTAAATTAAATTTGCTCAGTGTGGTTTTCCAGAGGAAGAGTTGACTATACACTACAAATACAAAATAATTACAGGCACAAGAAGAGCAAAAGAAATCACAAGGAACCTCATTCAGTTTCCCAGGAGGCATGCCAGGAGCTGGTGGACCTAGTGGAATGCCAGATATAGGAAATTTGTTCAAGGATCCTGACATTTTAGCAGCAATGCAGGTAAGAACATTTGAGTAATTATAAGTTAAGATAAAATTACTTTATATTGGGAAGTGTTCCAGCTATTGATCTCTTGGTGACCAAAAGGGCTGCAGGTGTACAATGGAACCATCTCAAATCTGGACCTACAACATTTGTTGAATACAGTAGCCTCATGTATATTATGGACCGAGTTTGCTAAATGTACCAGTCATTTTAATCTTGGATCCATACTCAGATTTTCAGCTATCCATTGTGAAAGTTTGATTTGTCACTTGCAGTAATTTTCCAGGTCATATTTTTTCTAAATTTTTGTCTGATTTGTTTTCAAATGTTAAAAAAAAAATATATATTACTCAGGTTTTTTATATTAACTATTTAATAGCAAAGGTGTCTGATAACAAGAGTAGTGTAGTTAGATGAGCTAGGAGGAATCTAGACAACTCATATGCTGGTGGCCCTTTGTGATAAAAAAAAATGACAGTAAAGATGAATGTTAGTTTGATTTATACACTGCTGTACATCTGTTCATTACAACAGAATTGTAACAATTTATACCAGGTATTTTGGATAAAGCTTTTGATTCTGAACAAACTATTTTTGCAATTAAATTCCATTTTGTTTCAAAAATGTTTTCTAGCTATTGGTATGTGCACTAGGAAAATTTCTTGTCCCCTAACTCCCCTTGCCACTTCGGGGGGGTATAGGGTGTTTATGTAGCTTCAGGGCACCAATCACCCCCGCCACAGGGCATGGCGAAAAGGCACCCCTAAGCATACCTAATTCCCTATCCCTATAAATAATTAAGTAATTAATTATTTATATACAAGAAGGTACACGACTGTTGTAATTTATATCTCTGACATGGGCAAGAACTGGTAAAACATCAATTCCTTACAGGATCCAGAAGTGGCTGCTGCTTTCCAGGATGTCTCTGCCAATCCATCAAATATCTTCAAGTACCAGTCTAACCCAAAAGTTGCATCAGTAATTAACAAGTTGATTTCCAAACTCGGAGGTGGCAGTGATAATGATCCACCAATGGGCTTCCCTGGAGCTGGTGGTTTCCCTGGGGCTGGTGGCTTCCCCGGGGCTGGTGGCTTCCCAGGAGCTGGTGGCTTTCCCGGGGCTGGTGGCTTCCCAGGAGCTGGCGGCTTTCCCGGGGCTGGTGGTCCTCCTAGTGGTCCTTCCCCTCGGAGTAGCAGTGATGACCTTGATTAATGGGAATTATACATTGTCTTGTGGTCAGAACATGTTGGATAAAGCTACTATTAATTGAGAGAGTGTTCTGTGGAAATTGTTATAATGTGATAAACATTACAGTACCATATATATATATATATATATATATATATAAAATTCTTTGTGGCAAGACCTTCATAAAGAACTTGACATATTGATCTACCTTTCTGTTTAAGGATTGTCTGAAGACAAGTGTTAACTTACAATGATCTCTTAAGGCAGTTTCATGTGTAACCTTGAGCATGCAGTTATTGCATGTACCAGATAAGGATAGGCTATACAAATTTGTTAAGTTGCTGGTTTCATTCAATGAAATAATTGTAATTAAGGTAGTGTTTAGGCTTTTGGATTTAAGTTTCCTTCATGTACATTGTCTTTTTTTTTTCTTTAGCCTGAAAGTTACCAATTAAAGTTGCAATTTGTTCTTTAAATATAACACGGAAATTGTCCAAGGAAAAGTTCTTTAATAAAATGTATAATATTAAAGCACTCTCTTAACCTTTACAAGGAAGAAAGTATCAAAAGAAGGCACCAAACCAGGAAGGCTATGTAGCCATCAAATGTGCGGAATAATCAGAGGGCGCTGAATATCGCCAAGGATGCCAATATGTGAACAGAAACGCATAAGGCAAACGATATCAAAAGTATCTGATTCACCAAGAATTCTATCGAGGGACAAACGACCGCGGGGCACTGTCGGAAAACAAGACACGCTTGTCCGGGAAGTTGGGACATTCGACAAGGATATGCACGACCGTAAGAGGGACAATGCAATTTGGACAATAAGGAGTAGGGCGGCGCTCTATTAAGTGACCACGAGTTAAGCGAGTATGGCCAATACGCAACCTCGCCAGAGCTGTTTCCCCATCGCCGGTTATGATGGTAAGACGACGGCCATGAGGACACACAACTCTTAAGAGTATCCAGTTTGTTACCAGTAACAGAAGACCAACAAGCCTGCCAACGGGTAAGGATGGAGGAATGAATAACTGGGTAAAAGTCGGAATGAGGAATACCTATATGAGAGATGGGACAAGAGCGGACAGCTTCCCTAGCGGCAGCATCTGCACGCTCATTTAAAGAGACCAATATGGCTGGGAACCCAGCAAAACTCAACCGACTTAAATTTACTGTGAAAAGAAAGTCGTTACTGTATCTCGACAATCACTGGACGAACCGGATTAAAAGACCCCGAGAGCCATGAGGGCACTACGAGAGTCAACGACAACTACAAAGCAGGAGACGAAGAGCATAGAGAATAGCATAAAGTTCCACTGTCAAGATGCTTGTCTCCAGAGGTAAGCGGCATACAAGGAAGAAAATGACTTGCTGCTGGTATTGACTTACCAAATTTCATAAGGTTTACTTTTTAATAGCAGTAAAGGTAAGCTTTCAGTTCATGTTCGAGCTAGTATTATAGACTACTATTCCTGATGTGTTGCTAATTACTCTATATTCAACAGCTGCCCACTGAATAAACTTAATTGTTATGCCTTGGATGACTATATCCCTCTAATGAGCAACCCTGTAGAACTAAGCAAAATGAAGACATATCAGTCATTATACACTACTGGCAACAATTCAAATAAAGTTATATGAGGGAACTCTACTAAACCACTGGCATCCCCTCACTGTTCTTACCACAGAAGATCCCCTTATGATGATGAGACATTATATCCAAATAAATATGTTCCACAGATTGCATCTAACATGTCTGCAGTCTTTGGGTTATGCAAATTGCTATCTAGGTTTGTATGTATTAAGTATAGCACTACCTAAAATATCCATTGAAATAAATTTAAAACTCAGTTTGTGTGCATGCTCATCTAATTGTGCTTGTGGAGGTTAAGCCTTAGCTCTTGGGTCAAGCCTCTAGAAACAGCCGACCGATTTATAGGTTCCTGGGCCTCATGTACTGAACTATGTAATTTCCACTTGTCTTATTATACATTACCTACTGTAATTTCAAATAGTCTTTGTCTAAGTTTTGTGTGATAATTATGTCTCCCAAGATGAAAGATTTAATTCCTTTAATCTTTTCTTGTGACACACACCTTTCAAATTTGGTCTAGTGACTCAATTCTGGATTTTCTCCAGCTTCATTTTAAAATTAAATGAAATACACAGCACCAGCACTGAGGTACTTATTTCAAAACTGATTTTACATGTATGCTAGGTCCTGAAAAAGATTTCTTGTTCAAATTTAAAAAAGTTTTTTTATGTAATCCAACTGAGCACAGTGGGGAGGGAGAGAATTATAAGGGGGAAAGCACCAAGCCATTATGACTATATAGCACTTGGAAGGGGTCAGGATAAGGATTTGGGATTGGGGGGGGAAGAACAGTCAGGGATTGAATGCCAACCTGCATGGAGGCCATTGCTCTAATGTCCATCCCACATGATTATACTAATGAGCAGATGACAATTTATTTGATGTGGGCTCTAGATATATGGTGTGATGAATGCCTGGTATTTTTGTGTGTGATGTCAGGGTGGTTTTCCTCATTTGGCATAAGCCCATATTGATGTGGAGGTTTGGGTGTATGTGATGTGGATGCACAAATGTATGTCGAGGTGTGAATGCGTACACACACTGAATATTTAGGTGTGCAGGTGCATCCATACATATTGAGGTGTATGCACATGTATAGTTACAAGTGCAAGCTATGCATGCATGTGTAGGTATACTGCAAACTTGTGTAGCCATTTTGCACTATCAATTCTTTTTCTCAATTAAATTTCTGTAGTCTTTTTGGTCAGCCTACTTTATTATGCTGTTATACTGTTGTCATATATTACTTTATAAATTGTTAGTAGAGCATATTGTATTGTACTTACTGACATTATCAAGTATCCTTTCTTGTTCAGGAAAATCAGCCTCCTTTGCCGAGGTGGTGGTGTATAGTAAGCTCAAAGCTATTGGGGGGAGGGGCCTCCCTGAAATAAAGTATTGAATGTAAAGAAATGCTATATTCTGATGGGCCCTCAGTATCTTCCAATCTTACATTAGGGGGAGGAGTACTTAGCTTATGCAGCCCATGAATGATTGAGCAGAATGACTGACCCTGCTTTCAAGCAGTAGTTAGCTGCACTATGGTAAAGGTACTTTCTTTGTTTGGAGTTCCTAATTTCCTTCAGTCATTCATTTTGTTCTGATTTTTCTTGGTATTGGGTTCTCTTATCCCCAAACTCCCCTCGCCTTACAAAGCTAGGTTCTTTGGTTTATATTCATCCAAAAATTGAGCCTACTAAGCAGCTGCATCTCCTGTGGAGCAACTCGCTTCTTTGGGTATGGAATGCGATTAAACTAAAAGTTCATCGAGGTCCAACTAAATCAACATGCTAGCTGGCCTAGTCGAACCTGTCGTCAAGTGGTTGATCAAAAAAATCCTCATAATATTGGCCTCATGATGTAATTGTAAATTTCACTGTTCCTTGTGACAAGACTGAACTAGGGGCTCCACAAAGCATCTCAGCTGTTCCCTATTCTCTGTTATAAATATGCTGCTTACCTCTGTACCCAGTAAACCCAACAAATGTAATTAGCTACGCTGATATAAAGATTAATGATAAAATCAGTAGGAACCATGAGGATTTGAACGTATGTTCTGGATACTCTGAAGCAACACCTTAAACCATGGACATGGTAAAAAGCATTGCAACCTGAGATTCAACTGAATCCTCTAGGGTTTCAGAGGCTTCCACTGAAGCCTAGCCAGGGTTTCACAATGACCCCATACACTCTGGCTTGTAGTTCAGGAATTCTACTTATGCTTCTCTTAAAATACACAAAGGAGCATAGGTAGAAACGATGTATAACACACATACATCATTAATGTTATGTATCAATGAGAAAATGAGTAGGGGCCATGAGTAGGATTGGAACCTATGCTCTTTGTACTCCTAAGCAAGTTGCTTGGGAATACCAAGCAACTTGCGTTTCTTTTCTCACTGATACATTATGTTCAAGTGATTTCTTTTTGTATAATGATTGATCTACCCAAATATCTCCATCATTCACCATAGCCTCTACCCACCACCACCTTCCTTCCTTCCCTCCCTCCCTCCCTCTCATCCTTCCCTTTACTGTGTTATCATGCTTGAATACATAGTGGAACTGGCGGAGTTGGTTTGACAAAGAAACCTGTTGAAGATGTTACAGTCGGTCCATAGAATTACCCAAATCAGCTCAAATCGGCCCAAAACTACACAAATCGTCCTAGCATTACGTAAGTAATGAAAAAATATGGTATATTTACTTACTATAATGTTGGTGCTACACGTAGAACATGATCAAACCTATTTTTACTCTGAAATAATCTAATTTCATAACGAAATGAGACGTAAATATGAGAGGTGTTACGCCATAGGAAGTCGACGGTCCAAGTCGATAATTGTGTGGAGCGACTTGTCCAAGATATATGGTCGCCTGGAGAGTGTTTGCTGCCATACCAGCCTCCTGTACACAGTGATCCAGTCCTTTTCGTTCATTGAACACCGAACCCTACACGCCCTCTGATATATTGCTTAATTAACAAATATTCACAAATAAAGATTATATTTGTATATGTTATCAGAAAGGCAGATATAAAATAGTTTTTGTGAATCCATCACAGATTATACCTTATTAGAGAGGAAAAATATTCATACTTTAAACAAGGCTTCATGGCCGACGCTCTCCTTACCGATATTCGAACCCCAGTTGGAAACAGACCCAACTATAGGATGGGTTAACCCAAGTATCGCGCTTCCAAAAGGGTCGCCCAAGTTGGAAAAGACGAACGCTGAAAGAATATTGTTGAAAACATCTTGATAACTGATTAAACCAAAATTATTTATTAGTCAGAAGAAAGACAGAAACGCGATCTATATGTAAAACCTCTACCAGACAAATATTTTAAGTAAAACCGAAGATATTTGTAGTTGTATAAAAGTGGCAGTTTTCATCGCTCGTCAAACTCGAAGACCGCAGCATTAATCTCAGAACCATGCCTATTTCACGCAGATTCCTTAATAAACGTAAGAGTTTTATATGTCACAAGAAAGACAGATATATAAGCTTCGTTCTAAATACCTTACCATGGGCATATTTAAATTTAAAACGAAGATACGTGTACTTTTATAATAGCCGAGCTCCGACTCCGGACAGATCGATCGACGGAGCAATTACTCTCTCTCAGAACAATGCTTATTTCACGTAAATTTGTAAATAATCGTAAATTTTTTATATGCCTCAAGAAAGATAGGATTATAAGGCTCATTTTAAACACTTTATCATAGACATAATTAAAGTTCTAATGAAGATTCATGTATTTTAATAATCGCCGAGCTCCGACCCCCGCATAGACTGAGCGACAGAGCAACTCTCTCAGAAGAATGTTTATTTTACGTAAATTCGTTAATAAACACAAATGTTTTACACGTCTTAAGAAAGATAGAAATATAAGCTTTATTTTAAATACATTACATTAGACATATTTAAAGCT